TGTTTGAACATATGGTAATAAATTATACTTTGCCCAAACCGACCAACACAACCCAACCCGACCGACACTTGATTGGGTTGGGTTGGGTTTCAACACGTCCTTGGGTTGGGTTGGTTTGATTTTAGATCAAACCAACCATGTTGGATTGGGTTTGGGTTGGGGCAAAAACCGACCCAATCCAACCCACACCCACCCCTAGTTACATGGGGTCATGGTCCCCAATTTGTTGTATTCTTCAAAATTTTCGAAGATAATATCACAAACTAAATTGGAAGATCATAACCTTTCAGGCAAACAATCAGATTATCATGGATCTATGTATGTTTTATTTTATTATTTTCTCGAATTTCAACATGGAGTAAGATATTAGGGTTCATATGAGAAAATAATTTATTTAAAGCATATGGATTAAATCGATAATTCTTTTCTTTTTTTTTCTATCATAGATTAGCAAGGTGGAGATTGCTGTTTGAGCTGCCTCTCTATTCTGTGGTATTGAGCATTTTTTGTCTTTGGGTTTTGATATTTAATGGGACTACTGGTTTACTTTGTTTAAATTGATTAATCTTGGCCTCAAACTTGTCATGCTCTAGACCGTTGGATTGGATAGTTTAAGGGTTGTTTTTATAACTCCCTCTCTCTATATTCTTTTATGAATTGTTGCTATTCTAGGGTTTTCTCTTTTGTCTTCTCTCCAGTGATTCCTCGCTGTTCATCTTCTTGAAATCTCATGTTTTTATCTATGTACATGTCTTAGTGATATTGTTAGTGTATTTTGTATACAGTTAGTGATTGTGAGGAGAAATATTGTATAAGAGAATAGAGAGAAAACATCGGTGAAGAAATCATTTCTTCATACATTTGTACCGTTCTTTGTGATTCTTAGTGGATTCGAACGTAATCTACTTAGTAGATGCTCAATGGGTGAGTAGGCTGTGTAAAGCTGAACATCCAGGCCCTGAGGGTGAAAAATCTGTGTGTTTTTACTTTCTGCAATTTTGTTTCTTTGTTCTTTGTTTTTGGTATAAAGATTTCGATTCTGAGACCAACAATCTATAAGAGTTTTACCGAAGTAATTGTTAAGTTAAAACTCAACAAAATTTAAACAATCGGTGTGAATTTCGTGTTTGGGGTTCCATAGAGAATGATCTTTGTTTTCATTGATTGTTTCTTGAAGATGGTACACTATTGCCTATATTGCTATTAATGTGGCTTTGTTATTCTTTCTAGATGCGTATCGCCTACTTTTATCATGTTCGATAGCTTTCTCAATCATTTTCGGCAAAGCTTGTGAAAGCCTGCTATTGGGGTGTGACACCAATTGGTCCAGCAACTCTGTTACAAATGTCTGATAACTTGGTCTTGACCAAAACCTGAACCCATGAGTGCAAAGTAACTGTTTGGAAAAAAAGGCAAAAAAAAAAAAAGGACGATTTTACTGTGGTACTCAACAGCCACTTTTAACTTCTGAGATGCTCTGGTCCGTTGGATCAGATTTGAGATCAATGGTTGGCAGAAAGGTTATAAATTTGTTCCTCTGCTGTCCTATTAGGTCATTTCATCTGATTTCTATCGTTCATGCTTCTTGTCTTCCATAATTCACTCATTTCTTCTCCATTCTTCTTCCAAACCTTTGATTAGAAGTTGTTCTTTCTGACTGTCCTGAGTGAGATACAATCCTCAATGTCTAAATTTTCGTTTGTTGTTTTTTGAGTCTCAGTTGCATCCTTTAATTGATAAGAGTTTTGGTTAGGCTTTTCGAGGTCAAACGGAATGGTACAATTTGAGTCTAAGCCATGATATGTAAACGCCTTGGTGTTATTCATTGTGTTTTATGTCAGAAATCATATGCTGGAATTT